GAATCCTATCTTTTTTTTCCAGATAATGGAGACCGTTGCTTTAGGCAAATTCATTTCACGACAAATATCACTTTGTTTCATACCACTTCTAATTTTTTATATAACAGCGCATTTTTCTTTCAAAGTTAATGCTTTTCGTTTTGAACGTCTGTCATCAATATTCTCCACGAAATGTAAATCACAACTGAGATCAAAACAATAACAAAATAAATTTGCTATGTATTTTAACATTTTTCCAGGGATTTACAGGGGGAACCCCCGAAAAAGTTTATTAAAAACGGAAAATGTATCTTAATCTTGACGAAATTTAGTTCACTGTATCCGAAAGTTCAAATATCCGGGTTCATTATAATCAGTAAAAATTTACATTTGTCTTATGAGTCTTTTTGAGTATATTTCAAAAAGTGTTCGTTATAACCGAGTGTTCACAATAAGCGGGTTTACTATATCCGAACTCCACTGTACTTATAAATTTAATGTTTTTTCCCCTCAACATTTTTTGTCTAACTTAGAAACCAGAAAATATAACGACGTATAGCTCGAAAACAAAAGTTTTCCTTTAAGAAGTGATTTAGAGTTATTCAATTGAGTCATCCAATTGAAATTTTTGTTATATGAAACGCTTTACAGGGCGGTTAGTTAAGGACATTAAAGGGGACAAGAAAAAATGCTGGAAAGTATTTTTAAGTTTGTAGAATAGCCGCCAAGGGAATTTTAAATCTCGTTTTTTAAGAAATTGTCTTATATATTCATTTTCGTAAAACAATCTCTTTCGATCTCTTAAGGGACAGTGGTGGTGTTCAAACATTTTAGGTAATAAATATCAATAACTTCAGAATGGCTTAACGCATTAGGTCAAACTAGCAGTTGTAGAAAAGTGCTCTTTTTAGGGCCACAACTCTAAATAATGTCCGCCATCTTTGAGAGTATATTCAGGATACCCTACCATTATTAAATACTAATATTAGTTTTATTTGCAAAGCATATGTAAATTTTAATGTCAAATTTCAATAATAATGAATTCGTTGACACTGATTGATATTTACTATCTGTCATGACGATATTAGAAATTTTTAAAATCCAAGCAGCTTTGGCAAACAAAACAGCAAAATTTATGAAGGTGGTGTTGAAGGATGAATCGTATTAGAGTGTATTTCGCCTTTTCCAACTGTAGAATTGCTGGATAGGTTTCGTATTTATTTTTAAAACTTTGAAAATAGTTACATGTTCATATCAATATCGTTCAAGTACTAGTCAAAATCGGCATCTTCGGCCTTTATTGTAACGAAAACGTTAATAAACCATTAGATATCGACGTAAAACCCCCTCTCTGGGTCAAATAGTTGCCGATTTCGATGATCCCAGTCAGAATCTGCTTATTAGAAATGCAGATATGCACTTAAGACCCCTCTTTCTGTTACAAATGATTGGTTTTTGCTCTTGATTTCGCGCAGACTATAGTCAAAATCAGCATTTTCACCACTTACCGAACTGAAATATACATTAAGGCTGCAGATAACTTCTTAAAACCCCACTTTCTTGGATTTTCATTTTATTTAATTTAAAACAGGTTACAGTAACTTATTTCTTAAAGTTTGCTTAGATCTTGTTAAATGTTCTGGAAAAACGAGTTAAGTGTGTCGAAATTGGTGCGCAGGTGCAAAGTGCAATTGAAATGTAGAGGCATGGGCTAAAAATCATTACCTTCTCTACGAAAATATCAAAGCCGCTTGCGGAGCATCAATTTTTACCGTAGTTATGTTATCTAATAGCTACATAAATTTATGCGATGGAGTTTCCTGAATTATGCTAATGAGTATTAAAAATAACATTTTCAATATAACGTGGACGTTTTAATAGTAAATTTAAATGTTGTAATAATGATATTAATATTAGTAGGTAGCATTAAAGATATTATTTTGTTTTTATTTCTTTCACTTTCCTTTTTTCTTCATTTAATTTGTGAAAATAAATTTTATTCGTTGTGATGTTGCAAAACGCCCTCTGGTGAGTTGATGACCTTTGAAGAGCCCTTTTCAACGACTGAAATTTTAACAGACAGCCAAAAAAGCTATGCAATGCAGCAAAGTAATAACCAAGTTAACAATATAGCCATACCCCAGTTTATATGGCGCCAAGGCTTTCAACGTAATGAAAAGACCCGATCCCTTTCAGAGGTTCGTAAACCCATGTCCAAAACAGCGATGAAGAAATGGAAGAATTCTAGAGACACCAGGACAAAGATAGATCAAGGGTCAAATTTATAACAGAACTACTAAGCCATGAAGAATAATGGTAGGTCTACGATGGGCTATTGTCGGCTAAAGATGCATCTTATTCTATTGGAAGCTGAAGATTTGCTTGCCATAACAATGTCAAGCAACGGCCTACAAAATTATCGAGGGTGTCAGAATATATCCCCTGAATTGGACAGGCTGACGGCTAACTCTCCCACCTTGAACTTAAACTTGAGGCATGTGTGAGAGCTGGTAATTTAATATTTTACCCCTAAATCTGTTGGCGTTAACAAAATAAGGTCTATGTGACGAAGTGCAATACTATCATCACTGCAAATTTAGTTATTTGCCAACCAAAACTAAAAGCCTTTATTCAACTAACCCAACTGTTGTTCGAGAAGTCAAGCAACCGGTAACGAAAATAAACCGAAATTCAGGTTTCCATTGAAATTCTAATCCTCGACAAATTTGCTAAGGTCGACGTTTAAGCGCAGAAAATATCACCAGGACAAAATCCGTTTCCGAATTAAACCGGCGGAAAGTGGTGGTGGGTAGCCCGACATTGTTTGTCGCTAACAATCGTCCTTTTGCCGATTAGTTTTGGCTGGGAGTGGGGATAAAGTTCCAAAACACTGCTTTACGGATAATCCGCACAATAATAAGGCTCCAAGTGGAAATGACAAAAAAGGGGGGCGACTTTGTTGGTTTATTTGGATACGACTGCCGCATAACTTGCTAGGCTCGAAGTTTGGGAGGGATGCGAAACGACGAAAATTTTTTATCTTCCGGATTAAGTTCGACAAAGTTTTCGGGGTTTATATTCGATGTTTCCGCGTTGTTTAACGGCTACGGACCGGGAAATATGAGGCATATGCAAATATGGTTTCGGCACAGTGATAATCCGACTTGAAGCGCTCGTGTTATTTGAATTTGATTACATTTGTTTACACTGATGCGAAAATAGATTCCCAAAATGTTGAAATTAAATTACCCGCATGTGTGCCAGTCTTTGGTATTGAATTCTGAAAAAAAAAATTGGAAAAACTTCACGCATGTCCCAATCGTTTATATGCAGAATGATAAATAATGTTTTTAAAAATGAATTTTGGTATCCCGGGTGTCCCAGCTTGATACGGTATTAATGAAACGGACGGTCTTAAAAATTAAAAAAAAAAGCTCAGCCAAGAGAAAATGATGGAAATTATTTGCGAGTTTCTGAAATGGCCACCAAGGGGTGTATAGTCTTTAATTTTATAACTGGGTTTCTGCAAAAAATTGTAACACGAACTATGATTAAAGTGGGTACCTATTTTAAAGCTGACACAAATGAAGCTGTTTATTTAATGCCCTTTGCTCTATCTGTGTTACGAAAGTTATGGAGTGGGAGAGGGGGGGTGTTCGAAAACTTTTTAAAATAAATATATCCAAAAAGGCTTAACGCATTTTAATAACAAATTTGGAGCCATTGAAATGTATGTATTCTTTCGATTGCGATTGTTTACCTTGCCACCAGGTGGCGTTTTCTGACATAATTAAAAAAATACTGAGAAAAAATAAATTCAGGGATATGACGTTCTTTGTGAGGTATTTAAGCAGGTATCTGAGCAAATGCAATGAATCATTCATGTCGCATTTGATGTTCGTCAAATTTTCTTGATCCAGGTTATGGCATTTTTTGAATATCTAAGGACAAACGATATCGTTACATTAATTCTTTTTTCAAAAATTGATATCTTTTGCTATTATTTCCGAAAACAAGAGCAAGAGTGATAGCCTGGGAAAGTTTTTTTTAATGACTTCAAGTTTATTAAAATTCGTTAAGTCTTTTTATAGATATTAAAATTAATTTAAGAAAACGTTCGAACACCAACCAGAGATAGAGCAAACAGCATTAAACAATGCTCATTTTAATTTGTCTCGGCTTTAAAATTATATTAGAAATGTTTGTAGATTTAAAATTCAACAGTTACGTTTCCTGGTGGCAATTTGACAAACTCAAAAATAATTTCCAGCTTATGCCCTCATCCAATTCTTTATAGATTAATGGACACTTTAAAAATTATTTTTAATTGAATTGAACATAAATGAGTCGTGTAACATAATATCTGAGAAAAAAAAGAATTTCAGATTTCGCACGAACGCCACTGTTGTGTCATAAAAGTATTTACTTTTAAAAACTTTACCCCATTGTAGCTTAAATAAAGATAAAATATTGCAGTTTGATTAAAAAATATCCTGTGTTTTATTATTGGATAAGCTTTGATTTTGGTTTTATATCATCATCGAAATTTATTCTTAAAAATTGTAATTTGTACTTATATTTTAAAAAATGAAAAACTCCAATATAATTTGTATTTTTGTAATAATTGCGTGTCATTTTCTACTTGGAAATTGCATAAATTCTACGAAACAAAAATTTTGTTATGCCATGTTTTATAAAAGTATCTCGTATTTTGTAAATGATAATAACTATTTTTTTAGAACTCCATCACTCTGTATCTCGACGAAATAGGATTTCTGGACGAATATAACAAAAATTAAGGTTTACCTGACATATGTGCGCCTACTATCCGCGCAATTCTGTTTACTATGGACTCGAAATGTATACCGACATCTTATAACAACTTATGGATTGGATTGAGCTTTTATTGATGTTCTAAATTTATAAATATTAAAATACTTGTTTGCAAAGTTATAAAACGCAAGCGTAATTATTCGTATATAATAATTGTGCAATTCTTGGTTTTCGGCTGCTGTCAATAGAGAAAGTCACGGGTAAGTATTCGGTACTAAGGTTTCTCCGTTTGAGCACATTCACCATGTTCTATTGCATCGTTGCCATAAAATTGGCAGCCGAACTAAAAGTCGTTCGAATAGAAGGCAAATGCGATTTAAAACGTGGCAATAAATCAGTTTATAAAACCGAAAATGTACACTCGAACGATTGTGCCAAATTTCGATTATACTTTAATCGAATGAGCATTTTCGATACCTGGTACAAATTGTTTTCGAAATTGGGACTCGATATCTCGTTATACGAAAACGATTTGTTTTAGGAAATGTTACCGTTAACGTCCAATATTTGACATCATCACATTCAATTGCGGTAACCGTTCCTATCATTTGAACTGCTGCCAAATACCCCAGCAATTTTCTACGTTATTGTGGATACTTTATTCTTATAAAGATGTATTTTTTTTTCTAAAATTTTAAATGGAATGTCATTGAATTTGTAAATATCTATTATTACCAGATAATATTTATTCCAATTAATTATTAAAATTGGAACATTTGCAAATTGTTCCACTAGTGAAAATGGACATTTTCCAATTGATTAGATGGAACGATTAAATATAAAGAAATGTAAAAAAGATGAAGTCATGATTGGGTGACATAAAGTAGAATGTTATCAAATGTGACCTCATTTATGTTTCCGGTTTCCGCTCGTAGGTTAGACGAGAGCCTCATTATTAGTAAATTATCAGCGCTACAGACCAAGTACGAAGACGGAACTTCCGATTCAGTTTCGATCGGATCTACAAGACACATGAGCGTAAGCGAAGGTCATTCAACGAAAACTCCCAGTCCCAATCCTACGTTTATTAAGAGTATGGAATTTTCAAAATTCTCCACGCTGGCCAAGACCCACGAAGATAGTAGGTATGTCAGAGTGTGATATTTTCAAAAATGCCGGGATCTACATGTATCGGGTGTCCCAGTAAGACCGGCTAGGTACGGTTTATGGGAAACGGATGCGTCTAGAAATTTGAAAAAAAGAATTTATTAGTAAATCGCAAAAGAGGTAGTCCGGAAAATTATTTTTGAGTTTCAGAAACAGCCTTTAGGGCTCGTAATTACAATTTTAAATATTTCAAAATCCATTTCCTGCAAGATTTTCTTATTTAAACGCTTTTGTTCAATTCTATGTGATCTATCTTCATAAGAGGGTGGCTTAAATCATTTTTCCAAAATTGCTATCTTTAAAAGGGTCTTTTGCTAGGCAATCAATGAAAAATTGAAAATTCAACCAAATAACCTTTTGACTTCATTAAATAGCCAAATAAGGGCTCGAAAACCCGCAAAACGGGTCTCAATTATCAAAGCTCAATAAAAAAAAGTTAAAGCTTAAAAATAATTTCATTATCCAGCACTTACCTGTCAGAGATAGATAAAAGAATATTAAAAAAAATTGAAGGTGTAGCTTTGCAACCAAGCTATCTAGGAAATTAAAATAATTTTACAGATTTTTGTAAAAATCAATAATTTGCAGCACTTTTTCTTGGCCGATTTGCAGATATAAAATAATAATAAATAAAATAAAATAATGTACAAAATATTTAGAAAAAAATTAAAAATGTTTTTGTCCTAGCGCTTTTTGAATACGAGTTTTAAAAATGAAATCTCAGCAAAACATTCGGAAACTTCTGCCTAACTGAAATGATAAAAAATATATTTTTTGTAGTTACCAATATTTTCCTGAATTGTTTAACATATTACATAAATTGAGTTGTCTCTATTTCGTTGTACAAAGCGGCAAATAAATAATTTTGTTGTTTTACGATCAGCCTTTCCCGTAACAGGGTTGTAAATAAAACGACAGGGAACTGCGAAAACTTTTTTCTCACGCGATGCCGGAAACTCCTTTCGGCATCACGAAAACGTCATTTCGCGTAATTTTCTAGTGATTCTGTTCTTCGGGCAAAGAAATCAAAACTTTTTGCAAGTTCCTTTATGGGGGGAACATTCGCGTCGAACGTTCCGACAAAGAGAATTAAACTTCGAAAGAAAACGCAATTGGAAATCGGCGAGGAACTGCAGAAAATAGAAAAATTCTAATCGTCGCTGTGAGAGAATGAGCCTTAGCACAAATTGGATAAATTTGTGCCCATTAGAAAAGTTCGAAATTTTGGACGAAAAAGGTTTCCGTTGCAGACTGAAGTTTGTTGTTATAATTTTTTTGTAGCCCGGCTAATTAGATTACTCTATGCGATATAAGGAATGTGACCTTTTCTTAACTATTTGACAATAATAAAATGATTAACTAATTACATACTATTAAAATGTTTCTTATTTTAAGAATCAAAATAAATAAATACAAAACTAATCGCAGCCCACAAATTTTATTGAGACTCTATTTCATTTGTTTCTTAAATGTGCGAGAGGTTCAACAAAATCAAAAATGACAATTAATAATTAACAAATACTGCAGTGAAATGTAAATGTCATTAATGGATTTGAGTTAGGACATGTCAGTTTTTTGAAGGTACTTTGGAGTTATAGTTTTGAACTTTTACTTGATGAAAATCCATTTATCAAAATAAATAAGAACTAAAAGGTCAGATTTTCACGAATTTATATATTATGACATGACAATTGTTTCGACAACACATTTGATAAAGACACGATGTTTTCGAAACAATTGTCATGTCATAATATATAATTTCCTGAAAATCTGAACTTTTAGTTCTTATTTATTTTGAGTTATAGTTTTATTAATTTGTTAAATAAAGCTTGTAAATGCGATATTCTCCTTTTGAACTTGTTAAGCCACTGTAGGTTATGAAGTTTGGGAAATATCCTCTTATGCCTACCTTTTTTTTTTCTATTCCTCGTCAACCAAAAACCCTCAGAAACGGGCCATATAATTATATCCGACTAATTAAAATGAGATAGTATCAAAGAATTTCAAAGCATAACATTTGTGTTAGCATTGGGGTAGTGTCTATGTAACGCCAATTTTGTATCCAAAATTAGGCTAAAATGTTTGGCTATGTTAAAAATTTCTATTATTATTTATGGAGGGAGCCTTAATTCAAAAGCTAACCTAAATCTTGACCAATATTTGTTACAATCATATAAATAGAACCAATATTAGAATAATCTGATAGCAAAATAATTAGTATCTTTAACACTGCCTAAGAGTTCTTTTCTTTCATCAACAATTTCAACAACTAGCAAATAAAATTTCACGTAGATTTTGATTTCTACCAAAGAAACAGTGTTATTTCCTTTCATTCTGACAATTATTTGTCCACTGACCTAGGCTTTGTAGAGTGAGACTAACAAGGACTATGTTGACTTGAGATTTTCTATTTCGAAATTAATTTTGAAAACGGATTTCTCCCTCGATGGATAAATCTGTCTGTATTTCGATAAATAAACTTTAAAATTTTATCACTCCAAAATATTTTTAATACGACCGTTTGAAGATATCACTCCAGGTGACATCTTTCAGTACTTGCCGACATGCCGAAGCTTCAGAGGATGAAAACGCTTTCTGGCTAGCACATAACGATTTTTGTTCTGATTGCCAAGCTGAGCGCAATGAACATAAGCTCTTAATCGATAAGGCTGGATTACGTTTCTGTCGGGAAGATGGCGCCTCATCCTCATAACCAAAACCAAGATTTATGATGAGTTTTAACTGTCGTTCGGGACTTGTATAATGCGAGAATACAACCAAATTAATAAATGAGTGAAACTTTAAAATATCAATTTTTATATTTTCTATTTCTATTAGTAATTTCCATTTATTTATCTTCATTTGCAAAGAAAATATGCACGGCATATTGTGTAGGAGGGACGAGTGAAGGTTTTGCCTTGTTTTATTGAGTACATTTATCACACAGAATAGCGCCATTTTGTATAAATCAACATGAACAATGTATGCCAAGACTGGAAAAGAAAGCAACTCCACCAAGGCGTTTAAGGAAAATGGTTATTTTTTATTTTAAAAATCATTTTTTATACATTCGACAAATTATTTTTAATGATCGTATTATTGATATAGACCTAATGCAATGGAAGACTCTTAAACAGTAAATATTAATTTCTTTTCAAAATTATTTATGATATAGAGTTAACCATACCATAATCCAATTATTTGTGTTTAATCAGTAAGTACTTTAAATGATCTACTTTGAAACCAATTGTGGGGTAGGGTCCCAATAAAATAAAGATTGTATTCCATAAGCATTGCCACAAAAAGTGTTTTTGATTTGAATTAATTTCGTTTTAAGGACGACAGATCGTATATGCAAGAGCACATCCAGTGACACCCCTCTAATACTGGGAACACCCGTATCTGCCTCCGAAGTGGCTGTCGCACTGCTAGGTGCTTCTACCAGTTCACTTTGTGGTTACAGAAGAGGCGCTAGAGGTACCGGCGTGAAAATAATGGAAGAGGAGGAAGACCTCAGTAAACCCTACAATCACTACAAATGTTTGAGTCCTAAGTTGCGAAGTGGTAAGCTGCTGAGGAGGCAGTTCAGTTTGGACAGAACCGACGAAATTTTGAATAAAGATGACGATGTAAGCTAGCTACTCATTTGTGATTATTGCTTATAACATTATAACATTAATTCCGGTCATATTCTATTTTATATAAAAAAGTTAAAATATAGTCCACAAAATACTGAAAAATATTAAATTTTGAGATTGAGAAATAAGTACAGAAATTCTAAATTGGCTGGAACCTTCGGCACTGCACTAACATTCAATAATGCGTTTTACCACAAACCGAAACTCAATTTTACGTACTCGACGGGCGGTTCGCCAACCAAGTTGGCATCTTCAGGAGAAGATTAAAACTAAACTTAATAGAACAAATGCTCTCTATATATATATACACATCGGGAAGTGGGAGAGGGAATTACGCACTGTTTACGCCACCAATCAACGCGTATAATGGGCTAAATGGGATTGGACCTCTGTCCTTGTTCAGTGCCTTATTCCCTCTCTTAATAATTTCTAAGCTTGCGTAGGCATCTAATTTTCTACTATTATTTACATGTTTAACTAATTTTAAATTACCTTATGATTATTGTTGAACATACATAGATTAGAAAAATCAAGTGTAGCCGAACGAGCTTAGAATTTGTTAAGAGAGGGAATAAGGCACTGAACAAGGACAGAGGTCCAATCCCATTGAGCCCATTATACGCGTTGAACAGTGCGTAATTCCCTCTCGCACTTCCCGATGTGTATATATATAGAGAGCATTTGTTCTATTAAGTTTAGTTTTTATCTTCTCCTGAAGATGCCAAAATTGAGTTTCGGTTTTTGGTAAAACTCGTTATTGTGTGTTAAATCTTTGTTAATAACTACAAATCACTCCTGCTTCCTTAGTCTTGGAATTTTTTGATACAGAAACAGAAGTATCCGAAAGAAACTACTGAATATTTCATCGAAGTTCGGATATGCGATGTTACATATTTTTAACAATTGCGTAATTTTGAATATTTCAGTTGGTAAGTCCCCGGTTGTGCAAACAAAATTCTGCGGGCGCCGCGGATTTGGAAAAAATCGAAGAAGTTCCATTACGAGTTCCATCGAATGCTGGTTCCTTGGCAACCCAGTTGCAGTGCACTCTCTCGGTGTCCGCCGACTCATTGATTCGTTGAACATTTTTCTCCAACGATCATTTCATAGCACTTAATTGATTTGGTGATTCCTTCTACAGGGTCCGCGCAGAAATGTTATACATGCCTATACATGAATTTTTAGAATTTGTTTTCTAAATTAAGGATCTGCGTGACTGAAAATCAAACAGAGTTTTTGTAAAATTAAAAAAAAGTAAATTTTGAAATTTTTTAAATATAAATCTTCAAACAATAAACCGACAATACAGTTAACGTTTCACGTTTTTCGAAAATTTTCGAAAATAGTGTGCAGAGGTTTCGAAATTTCAATACTATACTATCAAATAGTTTGGCGCTAAGCAAGTGTTATTTATTTAATTATTAATCATTTAAATTATTTTAGATATTGATTTAATTTTTTCAGTTTTCAGTTACCGCAGAATCCTAATATACGAAGAACCGATTGAAATATATATACGGAAAGAGTATAAACATAGCGTGGGAGGAAAGGACAACGGCTATATTCCACATAAAATTTTAATCAAGGGTATTTTGCCCGCGGGCGGGTCGAACGAGCACGAAAATATAGTTAGCATATTTTCAACCAATCGCAAACCTTAACCCAAAAAGTTGATAAGTAAATCCCACAGCCTTCCTTTTCAAATATTTTCCAAATCAGGAAACGGAACTGTACAGGGTTACCTTAACATGAAATTCAAATTGGTAAATGTAAATAAAGCACATGACTAAGCCACCTGAAGGAATCATTGACCATTTTTAATTTTCCTACACGTTAGTATATGGCGTTTCTCCCTTCCTGAACTTTACTGCTGAGGATAGTTGTAATAAACACAGTCATTTTTATTGGAGAATAATTGCTTTTTTCAATACTTAATTGACCCAACTACGAAAAAATGGAACGATTTTGTAAACGCCAACCAAATAGATCTCAAGAGTGAAATACTAGATCGATAGCTTTATTTATTTCAATTTTTAATGCAGCTCTGGAAATTTTTCTTGCGGAACGAATTTTTTCTGGTATTTCTTATGTCATTCTTGATCGACTTAATTATAACGAAAAGCAATTGAAACAAAGTTGTGTCCTTTTAAGAGAATATTTTACAAACTTTTACACTTCACTGTTAAATTATTGTCGTAACTTTATCGTTAGTGCGATTGTAGATAAGTATCAACGTTTAAGAAAATGTACGAATTTGATGTGACAATTTGTAAAAAACTAAACGTTCCTTACTCGCCTCTTATATTTGTGTGTGTTGTAAATTAGTAAAAATTTTACGTTGACTGTTTAATAAACGAGTAGAACTACCGATTCAAGAAATGAACCGTGTTTTCTAACTACCTAACGGGTGCAATTGGCGTGATATATTTTTTTCTCGATTCTATAAAGAAAAGAAACAATGAGAAAAAACTGTCTTCATGCTGATAATGTTACATAATCACCAAGCATTTCTTATTTCATAGTGATCGGTAGATAATGGTAAATACCATCTATAAAAAAAATCATATTGTTTGTTATAATGTAATTTATTGTTTTATGTAATGTGTAAATAGAAACTTTGCATTTAAAAGTGTTTTATTTTGAAATGGTTAATTTCGTTTTATTTGAACTAAGAAATAATAGGCATATTTTGGCAAGAGTCGCCGATTTTCCGCAGTTGAAATGTTTTCTTTAGTTTAGGTTTGACGTAGAATGAAATTGATTGGGCGTGAGAATTTTTTAAAAAATTCAGTAGCAGAGTTAATTTGAAAACAAATTGTCGCTGAGAGAACTATAGGGAGTCAAGAATCAAACTTTATCAAATTATCACAATCTCATAATTTGAAGTTTAAGGAAATTTCCTGCAACTCAAATATAGCAGAATCCTTTATACGGGGCATCGGATAATTGTGTATGCTTGCAAAGGATCCTTTTATCCTCGATTCCTTGATCAAGAAATTCGCCGCTAGATGGAGACTTGATGGATACGTCATTAATTTGGTAAATTTGGTAAATAAAAAAAAAACAGGAATATTTCTTTTTACTGAAATTCTACTAAATTTGGCAACCGCAAGCAATACTGAATTTTAAAATATAGCAAGTGTTCTATGCAGTTTCCTTCAAAAAGTGAACAAATGCAGAAACGCTTAAATCCGTTCAAATAAGTGATAAAAAATAAGTATTGAAATGTTTCACAATTAAAAACATCAAATGTGATGTATGCTGTTGGAAGCGTTAACGTGACAAATTCCGGTAATTGTTGAATAGGAAAAAGTGCTGGGTCAATGATATTTTAACAAAATGAAGCCAAGTTGGTGCTTGAATAGTAGCGATCGATTCTATGACAGCAAATTAAACTTCTGATTTTGGCTAAAAACTGCCATTGAAATATTATTTGGAGTATTTTGTATCTACACAGGCCATTACATGGTAAATAAACATTTTACAGAATTTTTTGAATAACATTAACCACGAACTTTTGTTATCGTATCTTATTTAGCATTAAAATTTCCGGTGACTCTTAGAAAGTGAATCTGTTCTGAATAAATTTAGTTTTATAAGCTATTTTAGAAGTGTAAAGTAATAAAATGGAAAATTACATCCAGTTTTGCGCAATATCCTTGTCGGCCATAGGCGTACGTGCAATAAAATTATTTTTGATCAATATTGTAAAAACTAATTATTGTTATTATCATTATTATTATGTGCAAGTGTGGCCTTAAATAGTTATTACACATGGTTGTGTTACAATAGGTTACCTATAATTACAATTTAAACGGGATATGTAATCGTCAAACAAAAAATAAAAAAACTGTGATATAAACTTGTTCCTGAACAATGTTAAACTGAAAGAAGTACAAAATTATAAATACTTACGACTAATCTTGTGAACCAAATCATAAAAAAAACTGTTCCTGTCGTGGGTATAAAGACAGTTTAAACAAAAAATGTAGATTTTTCCTTCCAATTTCATTGCACCTCATATAAAGTACTTAGTTCCATGCTGGTGAAATCTTCCCACCTATCTGCAAAACAAATTACAGAAAATTCAAAACAAAGCAGTAAAAGTCATATTTATTATTATTATAAGAAAAATAATGTATGAAGCAACAAAAAAATGGGACATAAAAAAATTGCCACATTTGAACAAGCAAAATATTTATATTCCATAAAAAAATAAACTTAAACTTAAAGTACAAAGATCTCCATTATATAGCTGTATTTAAACTTATAATTCTATACCAAAAGCAATTGGTGAAGAAAAGACAATAAAACAGTTTTGTCAGAAATTAATAGTATATTATGCAAAAAGTGTGGTAAACGCCAGTGGAGTCACGAGTTTATTTGGCATGAGCGGAGCGAGTGTTTAATAAATGAGTGACTTCGAAAGTTTACCAACCGTGTTGCATCTGCATTGCATTCTTCGATCGTTAGTTTATAGTTATATTTTTGCAAAACAACACGAATCCATTCACTGACATGACCGTCAGAATTGACAAACGTTAAAATTCAAGTCGTGCTCTAAAATCTCCGAAAACATCCGATTGCTCGCAAACCCGTATGGTAATATCCCGGAAATGTTGGAAGTGGCTAGGATCCGTGAGACAGGAAACTCGCGTGGTAAAGTGACGCTTCCCGCATGCTAGTTCGGTACATAATTTGGTATTTTACAGAAGGGAGTAGAAAAAATTGTATTATTTTATTATAAATTTAAAAAGACTTCCATAAACTACCAATGTTATTACAAAATTGTTTCATTTTGTTTGTAATTTAAGGCTTCGGTACTAGTTTTTGACAGTGTTTTGGAGTCAGTCATAAATAATTAAATAAAAAAAATATCAGCATTTAAGGAGAAAAAACATGATGTAATATGAATCCAATACATCCACGAAGACAGTAAATACAGTTTTAATTCATTCTAGTGATTCTAGTGATCAATTTTTTTTACAATAAGAAGAAAGGAAAATATATTAGTTATGACTTTTGGCTCTCATAAATTTTTTGACTACTTACCATCTTGCCCGATATGTTGCCCCTCATTATTCCTTTAAGACGGAGTAAAGAGAAATGAATGATTTAACGCATCAGTATTTGCGAAAATTTATTTGAATAATTTAAATTTATTTGGATAATTCATTGAAAAATTTATTATTTTAAATGTAAATAATTTCATGAAATACGATTATCCAAATTTTACTGTGTATGTAACTGACGACTTATGTTCTCGAATGATTGGGGTTTAAAAGCTTGCTTTTAAATTGTTGCGGAAGGGAGAGACAGTAGCTCAAGTCGTACCTTTTACGAAATGTATAGACCATATAGTTATTATTGTTCGGCATTACGCAACATAGCAGGCGCATGACCCGGTTTCGCGACGGCCCCTAAAATGCTTTGGCGCATTAATTTTTACGGTACTAGAGCCCCAATATTATGTAATAGCTATATGGTCCAAACAGATCAGTAAAGGTCCTTTACAAAGACACCAGAAGTATAATTCGAAAACAAGATATAATTGGACGAAAAATGTGGATTTTGCGTGGGGAAAGTATAACGGTGAACCATTTTAGATATAGTAAATTTTCGCGAATAACATCTTACGAAATATGTCGTTGAAGATATAGCATAAAGATATAGTGCAACTGTGCTGCCCACTGGCGCAAGTCGCAGTATTTGTAACAAGACGTTAAACTGTTTAATAATCCATTGAGATATGATCGATCAGACCGCCGAACAGCGACTTGAGAGGTCCTCACAGATGACGATCTTTTATAATTTAATTTCTGTTTATAAAAAAAAATAAGGGTACCGCTTACTATGTACAGAGTGGTTCGCTTAAGAGGGGCCAATACCTTACCTCGAAAATATATATAAATATCAATATATCGGTCTTTAATGTGCCGTTATTAGAGAATATCTCCAGAATTCAGGTTATGGTTTTGGCTTTTGCTACGTTGCATGTTAAATTTTCATTTTTATTTTATGCGTTACATATTTTAGAGAATAATACCTATTCTGAGACTATATTAAAAATTGAAATAATTTCTCAAATACACTGTGTTGTGATATTTCGCAAAATATTACTTCTCTCAATATTTATAAATTAAAACACCCTGTATATTTTTGAATTTTAAAGACGAATCTTTAAAAGTCGAATGCAATGATATATGTGAACATTAGAGTGCGATGCGCCATTTCGAATTGATTGACGATTTTTATCAATTTCGAGGCAATCGTAACCCGACGCAGGAGGAATCCAGCAGTTTTTGAAAAAGTATATTTCTTTCAAAAATTAATAGTAACCCAGTTAATCACATTTCTTAGCTTTCTGGTTAATTCAGAAAGCATTTCTAATATTACTTTTTTATGAAATAGCTAGTTATTTCAAATACCGTTACATATTATAAAAATTATTTATTATAAATTAAATAAATATACATTACTAGAGCTCTGAAAACTGCTCTGTAAATTTGAGACAAGTAAACAAAGTGGAAGGTGGGAGAATTTTAGGGACAATATTTTATGAAGAACATTTGACAGTGAGATTTTTAAATTTATTAAGAGATTATATTGAGCCTCCTAGAAATGGAAATAGAACATACAAACTTAATTTGGCAATAAGCTGCCGCTCCTTATCAAGTGCTCATAGCAGTAAATTTTTAAACGGAAGTTTTAGATAATGGATTGGACAAAATGGCATCATCTTGTGGCCAGCAAGGAGGCCGGATTTAAGCCCACTGGACTTTAAAAAGATGGTTACAAATATTATTTGGAAGTAATATACACCACTTGGATTATTCAAAATGGAGGACATGTGCAAAATTTAATATTAAATTATTAAGTTTGTTTTTGAAAAGTTTTGTCAAATATCGTTACTGTTTCAAGAATAAAATATTCTATTATTTTTACCGAATTTTTAATAAATGATTTTAGTTAGAGCAATTTTAGAAACATTTATTCGACACGCTTTCTTTGCGTTTATATTGTCTCGGAATTGATAAAAATCGTCAATAAATTCAAAACGGTGCATCGCAAGTCAATGTTCACATTTCCACATAACCTGAATCCCGAAGATATTTGCTAATAACGGTGCAATAGAGACCGAGACATAGATATATCCTTGGACTCGTCCTTTAAAGGGGTATTTAAAACTGCAATATAATGTAGGGTGTTTCATTTTAAAGTATATAACTTTATTTGACCACCCAGTGTGTAAACGTGTGATAATTGAAATACAAACAAATTAGAGACCATTTCACTAGAAACATTTCTTGAATTCAAAAGTTTTTTTAGAATACTGATAGATTTAGTCGGCCACCCTGTACAAAATACCTATTTGTTATTCTGTTGAAATATATTTTTTTCTTTTATACTAGTATCTTACCAGGATGATTTTGGCACTCCATTTGCAGCGCGGGTAGATGGAAAGCAGAATCCAAAATGAATTAATTTTTTAAAGAAACTTCCACAGGCTACTGTAATAATTTTTACAAAACTTCTGGATTCCTCCTGCGTCGGTTTTTGCTAAGTCGAACTTACCAATCATCCTGTTCGCTTCTTCGGAGCTTGACTGAAACTGGCTCTCATTTTACTCTATACTTGCTTATATATTGTTTGAGGAGGGCGGAGCTAAATAAGAATTGATTGCATGCAAGAATTTTAGTTTTATCGAATAACATTTTACGTCCGGTTTCGTGATTGTGTTCGGTAACAGCTGATGAGTTTATTTGCCTTAGTCGTAAGGCTCTTTCGTGTTCTTTGAGCCTAGTTGTTGTTTTTCGTCGGGTCCCTCCAATGCCGCATATGCATGGAATGCTGTAAACTTCTGGCATCTCAAATGGAATTTTGTCTTTAACGGACCGAAGATGTTGAGAGATTTTTGGACAAGTGGTAAATCTGGTTTTCTGGTTTTCTGGTTTAAAATTTTTGATCTGTGGTCCGTGATGTTTTGAATGTAAGGAAGGACGACAGTGGCAAGTGTAGGATTGCTTTCGACCTCATTGCTATTAGAAGATTGTGGTGAAATGTATTTTTTGATGGAACGCTTAATATCTTTAATGTGGAAATTGTTAGAGAGAAGAGCAGCGGTAAGGTGTTTTAATTATGGGTTGAGTGACTCGGGATGATGTAGTTTTACAGTTTCTCCAACATATTCTCTAGCAAAATAGCTAGCTTCCTTATTAAAACCCCTTACAGGGAAAACTGACAGTTTCGTACTTAATTCCTTTCACTTTATGGAACAATTAAAAAGCATTGCATTAAATACACAATATATTCTAGTTAGTTTCGACGTACCACAGTTCCTATTCCTGATACTCTCAACATTATTTCAGAGATATTAAAGTCCGAGAATCTGGAACCAAACCTTCTCACCATAATTAAAAAATACTTACATATTTTTCTTATAACGGTCAAATTTTTGAACAAATGTCGGGGTTCTCCACTATTACCAGTGATGCAGTCATCGCGAATATATTTATGGAAGCCTTTGTGAAGAAAGCTCTCGACACCTTTCATCTAAAAGCAAAATTATGGAAAAGTATCAAAGAATTTTAACTGAAGATCTAATGAAAATAAAACTGTTACCACCTGTAGAAAACAGTTTGATAATATTTTACGATCAACAAAACTTATTGAATATTGATTCTCTTTATCTTTTAAATTAACTTTCGCTTATGTCAAAAGCTAAATTTTTCTTATAACGGTAATCTTAAGCTCCCGCTTCTCATTCTGAAACTCCATTTTACATGATAACGCAGGAACGAATATTTCGAGATGCAATTTTCTTTCCTGTTCCTAAACGGCAATGGGAGGATTAAAAACGAAACGCGGGCAAAAAACGGGCAGTCAAAATATCCGGCGGTTGATTTCGTAGGATGTTCCAGTAGGATTAGCGCCAAGCGGAGAACGCTCCACATGCGCACCAACAACCCCCCGATGCTGAAATTTCTCCGGGAACATTCGACTCCGGGTAACAGTGAGCCTCTCTCGGTTACCGGACTCGGTACGGTATATCGGGCCGGATCGATAATGTTCGAGTGATGAAAAAAGGTTATGTGGACTGTTACGGTCACGTGATAATTGTTATTATCGTCGACGGGGCAACTTGGACTGGTTTTAATGACCATTGTTAATAATTTCTATTTTTTCATGGGGTATTGTTGTTGACTGATTGTGGCATGGAAGTTGTTTTAGGAAAGGCGTTTTGGTTATACTCCCCGCCAAGTTTGAGCTATTATAAACACAGTCAGACATGATTTTAGCGGGAACAAAAATTTTTATAATTAAAAAATATTGCAAAAGGTTCTTCTTTGCGCGTTGATAATAGCGAAATGCTAAAATTGAAATTTAAAAAGATGCATTTTAAATTTGCCGTTCCTAGAATGTTATTGCGAATGGCAGGTCGATGTTTTTTTTTAGATCATATTGGAAAAATCGTCTTTACGACTGAAAATTTAGCTATAGCCAACCTATAAATTGATATTTTGAATTTAAGATATTTTTGAATTTCAACCGTTTAGAGTTTTTTAATATATTAGCTACCAAAAACTATAATCTGGTACAATTTTTTTCAATTTAATTTTGATTTTAAGGTGCGCCTTTCCTTTCCTAGTTGTTGACAAATTTATTAGTTTATTATTTAGGTAGTTTTCACCATTGCAGTTTTTCTTTTAGTCTAACTGCGCCACACGGTATGAACATTTTTAAATACCTTTTCTTGACAAAAATTTAAAAACTTATTTTGGAAACATGAGTTGGATGTATATTATATACTTATGGGAAGACATTATTCTGTTAGGAGGCATTTTAATCATCATTAGTTTTATAGTAGTGCCTAGAGGTATCACCAATATTTTAAGTTAGGTTCAAGAAATGTTTATAATTTAATAATGACAAGTGAATTTTATAAAATATATAACCAAGATCGTAAGCGTAGCAACAGTAATCTGAATATAATTTTTTTTTCACATAATTGCGTAGTTGTACATCGGTAAACTTGTGGTCTCCTTTAGGGTACTGAAGAAGGCAATAAAATAGCCGAAACATCGATTTGATTCTGGAAAAACACAGTCGAAGTTTCAGATAAAATTTCCATGTTGAAGTTCAATTTACGTCATGTAGGCACGGAATGCTAATCTAAAGTGACAATTCACGGATGAATGGGATTAAATTTCAGAGAAAATATAATTTCCTGCCACTCTACCGACATCGTTTTTAGTGCATCAATAAATTTGCATGGATTGGGAAATGATTTAGTTTTGAAATTTTAATTACAAGAAAACAATATATATCTCCTCGTTTCCGTAAAGCCCTCAATTTACGAAGATACCCATATTTTTCGAACCTGGCGATAAAATTGAATTCATTAAAATTGGGACTGCATGCGAACTGCTGGAAGAACGTGCAGTGTGAACCTACTGTTTAAAATTGTTGTCAAAGATTTGTAGTTATTTGTTCAATTACGGTCCAAATCGAACGGAGGAAAGGAGTAGAAAATAGTGGTATTATTTTTTATTTTTAACTTCTTCCATTATTTGTCATAACTCTTTTTTTTTTCAAGTTAAAACATTTTTATCTGAAGCCATTTTTTTTTTTATATTTTCGCTCCGTCAACAACTCCATTTTGTTCGCTGCCGAGCCCACGCAAAATCGCTTTTTAACGGCTCAGTTAAGTTATCCTTCTGGAGTAGTAAAAACGACGAATTAAAAAGAGTTCTCCAAACCGTGGAGGTTGAAGTTATCGATCTAAGAGTTAAAAAGCCTACACTAATTATTCTTTATCGTCGCCATTATCAAAAGTTAAACTTTCGACGTGCCTCTAATTGCTTAATTAACGCTTTTATTACCACCTTCGCAAAAACGGAAAGAACTGAGCCGTTGAAAACTTTAAGATTAAGGAATCGTGGTTATTTTAGCAAGTAACACAAATCAAGTTTAATTACCGAACTTAATAGACATATTAAAGTTCTATAATTGGTAGTTTAGTGAAGGGAAGACGTTCTCTATCCCATTTAAAAAATATGTTTATTAAAAAAGCAAAGACATCGTTCTCCACAAGATTAGTAATAGAAAAACTCTTAAACTAAAAGAAGGATAATTCGTTCAAGTGGGTGGGATAGACTCACCTTAGATTTTGAGACAACCTTATGAAAAAATAAACAGGATTAGGTGTAGAAAACTGAAACAAGATAAACGACTCAAGTTTTAAATTTAAACCAAGAACGCGTGAAAAAGGTACCTATTTGTATTTATATAATAAAATTAAAAAAAAAGTGGGTCCACCTTTTGAGGAGCCACTGTTTCTTGTATAAGTTATTGTTTATCCTATGTTTTTTTTAGTTCAACCCTTATTATTGCGATGTAATATTATTAAAACCTTTCGACTTAAGAACATTTCTGTAGAGAGAAATCTCTTTGCTTATTTGATTTATTAAAATAAAAAAAAATATACATTGCGGTAAACCACATAAACAACAATTTAACAGGTTTTCTATTTCCAGCTTTTCATCCCTATTAACTATAATTGGCCCTTTCCTACTGTACCGCATCCATATTTGCTGTACCAAATCGCGTGTATTGGAAACAATCAATCTTACGAAGAATGTTACAACGAAGGACCTAAATCAACTTTATCCATTTAGAACGTAGCTTCAGTGTTTGAGGATGTATCATCTTTGTCATTTTCAGGAGATATAACTCCAGTTTTCGTTGAATTTGATCTTGAAATTTTCGCGATTATAAACCACGCTAAAATATTTTAACGGGTGTATTTATGGAACGTTACAGACAACAAATCAGAATTGTTTAGATTTTGGACAAATGGACAATCCGATTGTCAATCTCCCCAATATATCAATTAATCCGACGCATTTTTCGAAATAAACACGCGTTTACCCCGAAATTCATCATAGAAATTTAATTATCCCTTTTACGACCAGTTTATTTTAGCGATACGCGCGGATTCGATTTGGGTCGCTTCCTTTTATTAAGTTCATCAGGATGAGGTTTTTTTTATTTATCTTCTTGAGCCCGATTCCTTTATTAACGAATATAAGGGCAACACCGTTGGTTAAAAGCTGATACTGATGACCAGAGATCACGATAAGTTGAGAATATTAGACCGTTCCGAGTTAACTTTTTTTTTCTCTTACTATAGTAATAACTTACAAGCATCTCCGAATAGCAATATTTAGTTCCAAAAAGTATCGATACAAGTCGGGAGATACTTTTAAATTTTGTTGTCTAACAAACTGGGTATGTAATAAAAGAAATTTCAGTTTCCAATTACTGTTTATACGAATGATAATTGCTAAAAGTTTTAAGATTGATGTCACAATATCACACTGTTCGATTTATTTACATTATCATCTACTAAATATATTAAGTTAAATCATCAAGAACGTTTCCGCCCTAAATCTGGTGCATGTTTATGAATTCTCATCTGAAAGTTTCGTGACATTAAGAAACATTAAACATTATTGTCCAACTTGAGGCCCAGATCTAATGCCGAAACGTAGGCATAGCCGATATGATTGTCTAAATAAGTTATAACTTCGTATTATTTAATTGGTAAAATGATCATTGACTTTACCATCGATGTACTTCTTCCGCAGCAGATCTAAACAATGTGGTGATGCTTACTCCATACCAATGATGAAGATTTTTGAGCCAAGACGTTCTTCGGCGACTAGGAACACGCTTTCACTCTATTTTTCCTTTCATGATTATATGGAGCAATTCATATTTTTTATTTCTCATTACGTGGGCAAAATAGTGCAGCTTTATTCTTTTAATGGTATTAAGTACCTCTCGTTCTTTGTTCTTCTTCTTCAAAATTCTCCGGTAAGCCCACAATTCGAAACCCGCAATCCTCTTACACATTGAATCATGATTCCATATCGTAGAATAATATGCTAAAGACATAGCAATGTAATAAGCGAATTCTTAAGGGAATTCTTAAGTCTCTGTTAGTTAATACATTTTGCATGTTTTTAAAAGATGTTTTTGCTTGCTTAACTTTGTTTTTGATTTCATGAGTTGAGTCCCAGCTTTCATTCACCCTAAATGCTTGTATGTTGGTACTCTCTCCACCATTTCTACATTTACGCTGATATCTGTTAACTTATTAGTTATGTTTTTGTTTTTGCTGATACCTATCTATTTGGTGTTCTTTATATTTAAACATTGGCTATGATCTGTTACCGCTGATAAAAGTATCTGTAAATCATCCTTATCTGTTGCTAGTTAGACTGTGTCGTCAGAGTATTTATTGTTGATTTTATTAGCAATTACACCTTCCGTTCTTTCTTCGACCGCTTCCCTGAAAATTTTTTCTGCATATAAATTACTTCTTCAGATGTCTGTCGTTAACTCTTATGTCAGCTGTCTGGTTCCAGTGTAAGTTTGCTATTATCCGAATGTCCAGGCCTATATTGTTCAGTAGAGCTATTAATGAAACACGCTGAACAGTGTCAACTGTACGTTCACGTTTTTCGTAGCAATTGTAAATATCGCTTAATCCATGTAATTATTTTGCGTGGTCCTGTTTATTTTATTAATAATATTAAAGAAATGGCGATTTGCGATGCAGTTTACTCATCATTAACGTCGATATCTTTTGTCTGGGATTGAATGCATTTTCACTATACTTCGCACGAGTTTGTTATTATGTAGTTTTGGTGGTATTAGGAAAAGTTTACAACCTCTGGGCATATTATCGTGGTGTAATCGCAAAGTTTAAACTACTGGGGGACCGCAAATAATGTAGGCTAAGTTGTCTCTAACTTCAATGTTATGTATTCGGTTGACGCTAACAATGTTCTGCTCCAAAGTTACAGAGAGCGACTGAAAAGGAAACGATTACTGGAGTACGTAAAATCAGATAAAAGTCGTAAAGAAGCCCTTGAAATATAATTGGTAGACGTCAAGGTTTGATTGATGGTCAATGATATATTTATAAGGTCATCGCTATGAAATCGAAGATAAAGAAGAAATCGTTTCCGAATATTTTCTAGGAATGTTAGGTCGATGGATAGTAAAACGAAAAATATTATAGCATTTTGAGAAAAGACCGAAAACATCTAAAGAAGCCAAGTTGTGTTGTGATTTTTTAAATGGGAATCAGTTAACAATTGAAGTATTTCATTTTCATAGTTTTCGTCTTTCTCAAAGAATCTTTTACAGGCTGCTGTAATATTATTTACAAATCTTTCGCAGTGCTCCTGCAGCGATTGAGGATGAATCAAACTGTTGCCTTCTTTCTAGCTTAACTGAGACTGTATTGTTTTCTACTCTGTACCTAATTATATACTATTTGAGGGAGGTGGAGCTAAAGGAGAGATAATGTTTGTTCATGTTTCTGTAGGATTTCAGTTAATTTATAAAAAAGTCAACAGGATGATTGGCAACGTCAGCGAGTTTGATTCATTAATAACCTACGCAGGCACAATCCAGAAGACTTAAATAGTTTTTGTTTTTGTATTTACAACCAATTCTATTCTATCTATGAATGAATATATATATTCTACGTATTCTATGGTACCCCAAATAAAATTTTCTTTTACTCGCACTACTACTACTTCTCTGAATAAGACACTGATTTCTGGATTATTTCTCCATTACTAAGGAAGCTTGAAACATTTTCATTTTTCATTCATTCATTCATTTTCAAAGATCCATGTCTAAAAGGCAATACGTTAAAAAATGACCAAGTAAAGTAGTACAAGTCCAATGAAGAGCATATAATTGTTCTTTAGGTAGATTTATTAAAAATGGCTATTTCAAAACAACGTAAAAATCAGATTATACAATTCTAAAAAATGATGTTGGTTTGATAATATATAAATTAAGTTTATTGAAATTATTAAATGTTTATGCTTTAAGCATATACTTCATTTTTTAAGTTTTTCAAAACTTCCAGTCCCTGACGGATGCCCATTAGAAACTTAAATTGACGAAAATAACCAAAATTGAATTATTGAAGACTAAAAACATTTTTTTCTGCAATCTCCAAATTTCCCTTTTTTTATCCTATTCGGTGTTTTCTTGCGGCCCTAAAATGTTCATTAAACTTAGTTTACTTTGCTTCGAATGTAGAGAGAATTGGAATCGAGGTTCTAGTTTTCAATTCCTGTTGAAATGTCATCTCGCAATCTCATTCCGGAATACCTTTATTAACAATTGGTAGCGAATTCTAATATTAATTTCAACTCAGTTCGAAATGCCAATTAAGGAGCCTGATCGAACGAACTCGAATATTCAACGAAGTTGAATTCGTCGAAATGTTTCTCGTCTTGCAGACTGTGTTTCAAGTGACAGGCACATAGACAAGCAGGTCACGTTTCCAGGACCATTTTGCTTTTGTTTCCTGATCGCCTGTTCAGTAACGAGGTACTTTGTATCAATCGCATTATATCTAAGAAAGACCTGCCAAGTCGTCAGTGCATGAAATTATTGGCCTAGGAAAACTAACCAAAACTTTGGAAAATACAAAATGGAACCACATTGTACAATCTTCAAAAAGGGAATTAGACTCGAGAGTTGGCACATGAAAATAAATCGACGAACTGAGTTCAATGGACATGAAACGTAGAAACTGCCGACTAGTGAAAACGTAGTGAAATCCTATTACACGTGCAATGGCGGTGGCGTTTCAGCAAAATTCTAGTGAGTTGTTTAATACAGATCTAGCTGTGTAAACAACTATAAATACTGTACTACTGCCAAAGGCCGCAAGGTTTATTTTTGTTTCTGCTTAATGAGTGCCAAAATGAAAATCCAATATGATAACCGGTATCGCATATAATTTGTGTGCTTTTTTGAAAAATTTCAACTCTTAGGAACTTAGCCTTTGTAGTGTCGAAGTGGCACCGGTGATATAGATTTGGTACAGTCTTATTAAGTTCTCCTTTTGAAAAAATAGGGATCGAGCACGTAGATTACTATTTACTGGATTTGCCTTCTTGGAAGCTATTTACTAGTTATAATCTTCTGTATCGATAATAGATCGTAACGAATAATGGAAGCTATTTGCTTTATAAATAATAAAACAACAGCAAAACATCATATTTGTTAAAACAATCTCAATCACAGCTAAATATGTAAAAGCGTGTCTTTGTATATTCGGTTAAATCAACTAGAACAAAATGAAAACTGACATCGTTCTGGGTAATGAATTTTCAGTAATTGAAATCGATTCCCATAATTAAATGTCACTATTTACATTTGATAACTGTTGTGGACGATAACCGAACATGAAATATATTTCGCGAAACTCATTTGAGCTTCAAATTGAATTCTAAATATATTATGGCTTCGCAGAATACGTATTGGCCGACCAACAAAAATTAAACCATGTTTCGGAAAAAAGATTTTGTTATAAATATGTTACCATTTATTTGGTATGTTGTTGTATGTCGCACACTTTCTTAATTGGTATTTTTTTATTTAACTCGTGATCTCAGTTTACACTTAAGTTTGTTATTTCTTTTTTCCCATCTTGCTCTTTTGAGAATTATATTTGTTATAATATAGTTTTTAAGAAAGACTTTTATCAAGAGGTAATTTACAAGTAAGGATGTTTCTATATGTGCAAAATATTTCCGTAAATTATTTTATATAAAATATGAAATATAATCAATAATCCCCGCTTCGCTGTGCTACTTTTAATAATTAAATGTTTTGGCATAATTTTATAATATTTTTATTGCATTTGCATTATGATAATACCAAAAAAATTAAAGATCAAATTTTGGTGCCAAAAAATAAGAAAAAAAAAACGATTTTTATAAAACGTTGACATTGGGATTCAAATGACAAAAATTCGAATTTGATTTAAGTATTGGCGTGGTAAAGTCATCTTTTTTATTTTTATTATCCTGAAACATGCTGTACCTGTAAATAACTAACTAGCGTCGATTTATAGCATAGATTTCCTAGGACATTGAAACTTCATGCCACAAAAAAGTCAATCGATGCCGAGACAACGGTCATACAAAATAATAATCTCCCCCAGAAAAATTATGGCCAAACTTCTCGAAAGAAAAACGAACTCCCAACTGCCTAGCGCGAAGCCACATTAAAAACAAAATAACGTAAGGTCCCCCCCATTCCTTTCGCCACAAAATCAATTTCAAAATGAAAGATCAACAAAAAGATGGCCGCGCCTCGAGCAAAATGAGGGAAGTGTGTCATTTATTCAGCACATTCAAGGACAAATCGCTCGAATGGCTTTACCAGAGTTTCAGTGTCAAACAGAAAAGAGCAGGACTGCAGTGTTTCCTGGTCACGGCGATTTTATTCGACATCTATATGCTCGTGGTGAGTATTTATAATTTATACAGCACTCGATCCCTTCTGTAAAAATCGAGACCTATTAAAATTTCTAGCTAACGACTTTCGAAAGTTTTAAAAGCCCACACGCTCCCTAAACTTATAAAACAGAAGTATATACTTGAGCCCTCGTTAATCACAGAGTTCGGGAGTTTACAAGTATAGGGGTTTCGCTAAAAAGATAAGCTTGCCCGCTTGCCGGTGTTGTTGAACAATTTATTCTGCTAACGTGTTAATTATAGCCCCTACACTTACGTAAATTAAGTACTCAATTAGTTTGTAGGCGGAGTCGACGACGAGTGTACCATATAATTTAGGAGACGATTTTAATACCGTCTTTACAAACATGGGTAACCTAGACGTGGTGGAGTGATGTTAAATTATACAGGGTGTTTGTTAATGGACTGCAGGTAATTAAGTGTGTGAATCCAGGAATCATTTTTAGAAGCTAAGTTGTTAACAGCAGCCACAAAGGTTTTAATTTTTTGACCAGAGAATGTTAAAATTTTCTAAAAAAATATGCTTTTCATATTATCTTTTTATGCAAATATTCATTATCATGCCTACGTAGACGTCACTGGTGAAAGTAGCAACAAGTTATGTCGTGACACTTTCAATATAGTTTCGCAATTGTTTAAATTGCAGCTTCTCAAGTTACTTTGAAGAAAAAAAAACAACAAAAATGCAAATATTGCCGTGCGTCCCTGTTTTAGTGGTGAGGGCGGTGCTCTCAGACCTTCCGTTTCATTTTGCCAGTATATGTTCGTTATTAAATTTATTTAGATGCTAACGTGTAATACGACGAAACAGACCACCACAAAGGAAATAATGGTCAGTTACATGTCACTTGCAAAACTGATCCCCTTCGTCAAGGCACTAAATATACGAGGGTGGTGGAAAAGTTTACGTCCTGACCTAGAAAAATGATGTTTTTTTTTGCTGAATTTTTCAACCAAAACTCCATCAACACTAATATATATTTCGTGAAAATCTGATCTTTTAGTTCTTATTTATTTTGATAAATGGATTTTCATCAAGTAAAAGCCACCTCAGTTCAACTAATATATTCCTCATAACGGTGTTTTAACTTGGTTATACCAGTTTTAAACGTAGATTCTTCGAGGTCCCCAAAATACTGATTTACAGCTTCGATAACTTCTTTGTTGCTCTGAAATCTTTTACCGCCAAGCCAATTTTTGAGGTTAGGAAACAGGTAATAGTCGCTGGGGGCTAAGTGTGGATAGTAGGGAGGTTGCGGTACCAATTCAAACTTTAATTCGTGTATTTTGAACATGAGAACAATCGAAGAATGCGTAGGTGCATAGTGCATATCCTGTTGAAAGGAATTTTTTTCTTCGCCAACTGAAGTCGTTTAATTTGCACCTCGTGCTACAAACGTTGCAATAACTCTGCGAAGGTAATAGTCTTACCCTTTTCAAGTTATTCAATTCCTCTCTGATCCCAAAAAACAGTAGCCATAACCTTGTTTGCCGACAAAATTGTTTTAGCCTTCTTTGGATGAGGTTCTCCTTTTGGAACCCACTGTTTTGACTGTTCCTTATTCTCAGGAGTGTAGTGATGGACCCAAGTCTCATCAGCAGTTATTAATCGACTCAAAAGTTGTTTGGATTACTCCTATAAAGCGCTAAATTGTAGGTAGAAATGCTTTTTCGAATCAGTTTGTGGTCGATCGTTAGCAAACATCGTCAGAGGTGTTCACACGACCCATTTTAAATTCAGAAACCCACTGCTTAATAGTTAAATAAGAACTCGATCCCTAAACTAATTTTAGAAAGCAAGATAAATAGTAGGCAAAATTCGGGTCTTAAACAACATTCTTTCCTTCGCAACATAAGGGCCTGGTGCGGAATGGAAGATGCCGCTACAATCTTTCGACAAGCTGAGAACGGTACCCTACATATGATATGGAGTATGCAGAAGTATAAGGGATCGGCAATGTGCGTACATGCACAGGGCACGAGAAGAAGAAGAAGAAATAAAAAATAGCAAACTCAAGAACTCGATGTGTATACCGGTATTGTGGGTTAAGCATCTTATAGATATAGATGTGAATATTAAAATATAATAAACGGATTCAAGATATATTACGAAATTTAGGGAGCGAAGTAAAACTCCAATCATGCAATGCTTTATGAACAACCAGCAGGATCGCATACCGACTGATTAAGGTACGGCCAGATCAATAATATTCAAAATCAATTTTTGCCTAAAGATTAAGTTTGATTCAAAATGCCGTATGTGCGTAAGTAATTTCGATTTTAACTGAGGCCCAAAATGATTAACCAAAAGCAAAATTATCTATGAGTAAAAATTGGTTTAACTTTCTTGGGTAGAGGGAAAAACAATAAAACTTTTGAATTATTCGGAGATAGATTTACACACAAAAAATGAAATTAGTTTGTGAAGAAAGTTTTAATCAATAATATTTGGATATACAGGTAATTTATCAGCCTGCAAAAATGGCATAAACTCGAACTTCAACATTACAAACATATTTGGTCTATAATATACATAGACACCACAGAGAATACTCTATCCCTAAATAGATTATTCTAAAGCGTTATCTAGATTTGCGGACATTAAAAAAAATAATTTACTTAAAGCTCAGTTATACACATAGCGTAATATATATGTGTTCAGTTTCAACCCGACGCATCTAACGCCAATTTTCAAACGATTAATTGCAAATCTTACACGCTTTGGCAACATTCCGATTTGTCTCTTACTCAATCTCCAGAAGTGTACCTCTTCCTTTTGACACTCGAGTGAGTTATTCCGATGCGACATCTAGCCAAATCGATTGATAATTACCATCAGAACGTTGATTAGGACGGAGGCATCAAACAGTATGCCCGAATCCCGAGTCAGTTCCGTATTTTCTGGCTTATTGATATTAATTAACAACATTAGCGGGTAGTGTTTACACTGATGCGAGGATTGATTGCGTAATTCTATATCCGCTTTGCCTACTCTCGTTAACTCAACTGCGCCTGCAGGTTACTGTTACGGCCCATCATAAATCATCAGCGGTAATTCGACGCCGATGGCGTTCCAGGAAATTTCGATCTTCCAGGAGTTAGAATTTACTGTACGAAAATGAGAATGGGCATATTTCTTTAACGTCGGGTGAATGAGACCAGTTTATTTAAATTACATTTAAATGCAAACATCCATAGTAAATCCTACCGAAAAATTGTATCTCTGGTAAATTTCGATTGTTAGTGCCAGAAATGAATTAGTATAATACTTTTTAATTCTAGGATTTGGATAATAATTTATCATTTTGCGTTTCGAAAGCAGGAGGATGCGTTGTTGCTGGAATTTGTTTTAAGATGTTACCCGATTTTAATACTTGATAAGGTGCTGAAAAAATAAAGAGACTTTCCTCGGGGGAGGGGGATGGTGAAGTAAACAAAGGTAGCTACTGCACAGTTTGACAAATTTATTGTGAAATCTGTTCATAGATATAAGAAAGTGACTAACTGAAACGAATTAAGGAAAAACCCGGGCAAATTGTAAGAATGAAATATGGCCGAACAGGTCCATACTTTGCTTAGAATTTAATTATTTGGGGTTTTGTTAGGAAAGATACTAAAAAATATTTATTTATTTATGTATGTACTTATGCTTAAATCTAAAATAAAATTACAAATTATTTTTATTACCTACTTAAATTACTTAAAATTATTCACATAATGTATCAGTATCACAATCGCTATCATCGCCTATTCTAATTATTATTTGTTCTATATTATTTGCAATATGGATACGATTGTTCTGCTTTTTCTATATGTTTAACATCATTTGCCCAACTTTGTGGAGGGATGTTAAAAGCTTCCGTTTCTATAGGTTTGAGGACAATGCAGTTAACACGGGGAAAAACATTGTTAGGAATGGCAGATTTCCGTTGGTGAATAAATATACAGTGGTAAGGTGGAAGCCTTAAAACTGTATGCCCTAGATTTTTTGCTTAATTTTCACAGACGTATTCCTTTTGTAAGTTCAAGCTTTGTAGAACCTCAATTAATTGCTTTTTGGTATAATCTTCGTGAAAATAAATGTCGTTATTATACATGTAGTTTTGGATTGTTGCTTTAAGGATTAAGTCAACCGTCTACTGTGATAACTTGCATTGTCCATTGCAATGACGCTATTAGGAAGAATGTTTGGAAGTAGTTTGTTTTTAAACCAGCTTTCAAATAAATCAGCGGTGGTGTCTTCATGGTAATCCAGAGAAGAATCTTTAATATTTTTCGCAGACAGAGAAAGTCCATTTGGAATCCAATCCAATAGTTATTCTTTTACCTCTTTTTGTTGGCGCGTTTGTTTTACACTTATCAGTTGAGTCAACCCAACCCTTTTCCGAGGTATCATAAGTGTCGAACCAGGTTTCATCCAAGTAAATAATTGGCGTTTGTTGTTCTCTGTGAATCCTAATTTTTTCTAGATATTCCAGTTACCATTTCCGAATTCTAAAAGATTCCATTAAAACTTGCTTTTTGTCAATTTTTTAAAATCTAAAACCCATGTGTTGAATACACTTCCATAAGGTAGTTCTGCCACATTTAACACCGATTTCATCTTATTCAAGCCTCCAAATTAAGATATCTAATGGAGGCACGCTTTGTTCCTCATATAACTGGTAAATTTTACGCCGTATTATATCTTGATCACTTTCATTTAAACTCGAGAATATGTCAGCATCGCTTCTTTTTTTCCTCGCTGAAATGGGATTATTCACAATTTTCCATAGAGTTGGTGTTGGAATTTTCGTCAATGTGGCCGGTTCTTCTAAATATGCTTGCTTGCTGGCACCACGGTCAATGACAGTCAAATAAACATTGTTTATAACTTCCTTAGTCTCAATAGAATAGTTTTTTCTACATTTGGACGGGAGCAACTCCTGAGATACATTAGACTCGCACATATTTTGCATAATTCGGACACGATTCAAAACACGCTGTATT